TGCCCTATATTTAAAATAAAGGGGTCACTAAAATGTAAATAAAGCATTTTTTTCAATATAAAAGGTTGTACAAAATCAAATGGAAAACAAAATAACTGATCATCCTAAAAAGGGTGCTGGTTGATATATAGTTTTTTATTGAATGGGCTCAATAATGAAAATGTAAGAATGATTATTCATTGATTATTCTTTGTATGGTCTAACTCGGCCTATTAACGACATACAGTCTTTATCTGATGTATTTATAGCAGTAATGTGATGTTGAACAGATCTAACCAGATGTTATCAGCCCCTCAGATGAAAAGGTGGTGTGGTGTGTTATCATCTGCTAAAGAACCAGCAAGCATAGAATCAGTTCTTTCCCCTGAAATGTGAATCTAACACACAAAGCAGTCTGATTGTTAAAATCTGTGGAAAGAGGAACAAGATGTTTCCATGTATGGCTCCAACTGTGTGTTGCATTATTTAAAGCACTTTGGTTTATTGTTATGCAATGCTTCTCTTTCAGAAAGTCTCCCAAACCTATTTTTGGCAAATAAAAAGCAACGCTGTTCTCTTTGTAGATCTTAGGCAGGCAGTGTGAAGACATGCAGTCTGCAAAAAGGATAAGAACAAAAAACAGGTTCAGTAACACTTTATGTAATGTAGCAATTACAGTATACACATTATCTCCTGATCTTTATGCTTCTTACTCAGTTATTAATTGTCAGCCTTAGTATTCACTAACTACTATAATTACCCAGTAACTGCTATGAAACTAATCAGTGATGTAGTTATGAGCGTGAGAAGCTGAAGTGAGCAGCCACATACAGGTATCTTGGATTTAAGGAGATAAATGTACTGGGAAAATGCAAAATATAAACACTGTATGATGTAATAAATTATTACAATATTTCATTCACCTTTTTAAACCTGGTACTGTATCCATTATCTATGCTTTAATGCAGTGATATGAATAAATAACCTTAAGACTAAATGGCTCAAGACAGGTTAACCATGCCACATTTAATGTGTCTCCTAAGTATAATATAAATCATGATCCGTGTATGTTATAAAGACGAGGAGCAGGGAGGTACAGTGAACCTGAAATCAGAATGGATCATTTTGGTTCATGTGTCTGGACATATTACAGTTTTCTCAGTTGCTTAAACACTTTTGTCCACTCAAAGGCTTGTTGGCTAAAACAAAGCTTTTTCTTTGCAAGATGGCCAAATCTCCACAAAACACTAAACACAAGACACAAAAGCAAACTTTTCCATTAAACACTACAGCTTACAATCAGGACAGTACATTCCCTCAAACACTCACTACACACTGACCTAAAAAAGACCAAATACAGGTTTTCAGTTCCAGTGTTCAGCCTTCATTAATGCTGTATCTCAATGATGTACTATCTGCTAAGGGTTGGGCAAAATGGTGATGGCGGAATACAGAGTACACTGTCCAAAAAAGTAATGTAGTCAGAATACATTTAGAATATATTTACAATACCTCTTGGTAAGGCAGACAGGATTTTTTTTTCTTTACCTAATTCACTCTGTTCCTCTCTGTTACTGTTTGGCGGTGTTCTTCATGTAATTATTTTGTTAATACTTTAATACTTTTCAGTCTACTCAGGCTTTAGCAGGAATGTAAAGAAGCTGTTAAATTAATTTTGTGGGTAATTATTCTAAATATATTCTCCTAAAATGTTAAAGGTTACTGTATTCTGAATACTGTCTTTACAAAATGTAACTTGGAGTGAATACAGGTGCTTCATTTCTGTATTCTGAATACATATTCCCAATACTTGTATTTTGTTACATCCCAACCCTGGCTAAGACTTTACTGTAAACAGATTTAGAATGTGCCAAAGTGTAAGAATACCACAATGTGAAACTTATTCTTGTCTTCTGGGTAGTTTTACCAAAGATACATTCAAGTGCAATGTACTGTGTATCACCCCACAACAAAAAATATATTCATATATTCAAAAACAAATATATTTATTCCTTTTTCCATTTTTATACTCTTGAAACAAAGGTGAGTATACATCAGTGGAGGTTTAGACTGCGTCAGAGCCCAAAGAAGGCTTACATACAGACCATAACTGAGCTGAAATTTTCCGTGAAATTCAGACAAAACAGATCATCAGTCAAGGCCTGTCCATGACAGAACATCAAAGAAGAGTCCAACCTGTCAATATACTGGAGCATTCATTGTACAAATTTAAAAGCCTCAAGCTTGAATCTGACATATCTGTTACACATCCTTCTACTGACAAACACTGTCTCTGGCCTCCTGTGTGTCATTATTTGGGACAATTCTGCTTTCCACTTGTTGTTTTACACTCAGCTTTTGCTAGTAGTTATAGGGTCTTTGGTGAATCCACTGTCTGAATGTTTCACAATCTCAGTAAAAACGCCTGTTATTTTCAAACTTTTTTATGTAATGTCAGTCTTATAACCTGTTTCCTGTCTCATAGACACTTGTCTAAAAGCTATTTTATCGATGCTTACATGAGCAACTGATGATGTGCATGGCTGTCCAACAAACTTTTGTGTTTTTCTGTGAGGTCTGTGTTAATTGTTCTGTAAAAGTATGTGAAAAATGACTGAAAGCAATGAGAAAATTAACAGGTTTACTAAAGGACTCTTCTGCTTTGCTAAGATAGTAACAAAGATGTTCACATTGACACCAGTTTTGTTTAAATGTGTTTTAGTGATCAAGAAAAACTATAAGACAAAATTTTCTTTTTCTATAATCTTCCATCAAAATGTATGTTTTCTGAGTTTTGATCCCTTCACTGTGCACCAGAAGACAGGGAGAAATAATATTAACCAATAATATCATGTTTCACCTCCACCCAGAGCCCCCAACTATCCTCAGGTAAAACACTCAAGTAGCTTAGAGACCCTCCCTAATACCATGTTTAACACAGTCATACATACTGATACAGAAAGAAAATTTTCCCTTCACATGAACTGAAATGTTACCAGTGACACTAAAGCCAATCAGCTAAGATCCATCTCATCATTAAAGGAATGTTTCAGGAAAAAAACTGATTCATATAATTTTCCTTTTACCCCAACTGTAGTCGATCGGCCAAGGTGAAGATGGAGTCTAAATTTTCCTTCTTTAATTTAGAACTGCAGCAGTGAAGCTAATGTTGCTAACAGGTGTTTTCTGAAATCTCTGCCCGCAGTGCTAGCGTTGTTGCTAGCAACATTTGCTTCATAGATCTAGTTATAAACTAAAGAAGCAAAATTTGGACAAGACAAACATGTCTTGGCTGATCAGCTACATCTGGGGTAAATGGAAAATTGTGTAAACTTGATTTTTGCCAAACCATCCCTTTAAAGGAATACTCCAGCAGCATGTAACCTGATATCTGCACATGATCATTTACCACAGACAATAATTTTGTCATGTTTCCCTGTACTTACTGAACTATACTGACTCAAAACATACTTTCCACTGGCTTATTATCAGTAAGTTTTTTAGTCATTAGGATTTCTGTTCTTTTCTAAGTACAGATTGAAATTACCATGGTAATCAGCTGTACACTACATACAGTATGTGGAAGAAAGAGAGAATGAAAAACACTAGAGTAAACTAACAAATGTAGGTCATGGATGGTAGGTTCAAAATAATTATCATGCATGCAAACACTAAAAACAAATATGTTTGCAGCTGTAATTAGAGCCACTTTACTAATGCATATCACTATCTTTAATAAACATCATCATAAAGAGCTGAAGAAAGCACAACTTCTCTTCATCGCAGCTGTTATTATATCATTTGTATGTGCATCTTGACGATATCTTTTACTTATCATGTTCACTTTATACCTTCATACTATACGTGTCTCTCTCTCTCTCCCTCCCACTCTCTCTCTCTCTCTCTCTCTCTCTCTCTCTCTCTCTCTCTCTCTATATATATATATATATATATATATATATATATATATAGTTTATACAGCTGTGATTTGGTCATCATAGATCATCGTATCACATGCTTAGAAACATCGACAGGTTCAAAATTTGACGTAGTCCTGCTGTCACATTCTTCTTCAGAATCTGATCAAATGTGCTGCAGGTCAAATATTATCTTTATCTTTATCTAACATATATATTTTCTGCTTCTATATGTGCTCAAAATGTATATCTCAACCAATCAGATTGTGTCTTCAGGACTAACAGTTGTATATAATAACACATCTTTTCAGAATCATATACAATATACAATACAGAATTGTTTTTTGTCAAGTATTAGTATTATAATATTTAAAATATTAAAGATATTACAAATTGCGATAACAAAACAAAAAACATTGCTAACTGCAGAATTACATATACAACCATGGAACCTTCTAAATTACAGAAACAATGAACTACAAAGTAGGAAGATGATATGAACTAGAACTGTATTATAGAAAACAGAAAATCTCTATTGCTTCAGTTTGACCTTTGCAGTCACTTCTCTGAAAAAAGTGCCATTTTATAGCACTGACATTAGTATGCAGAGAAACGTCCTAACACACTTCATACACATTCTCTCCACACATGCCTGCAATCAAACTCCTGCAAGATGCATATGAGAGTCTTTGGAGAGACGCAACAGAGAAAAATCAGCCCAAAACACAAAGCTGTGATGACAATTTGTTGAAACCTTAGATGCTACACTTTCAATGAGTGGCTCTTTGAAGAACCATTTCTGTAAATAAGATGTTTGAGAATGAAGAACCTTTTTAAAGTTTAAAGAACCTCCACATGTAAGGATTCTGTACTGTATAATGTAAAGATTTTTCCAAGAACCAAGGAACCTCTATATCTAAGAGTGTAAAAGTGAAATAATTCCCTGCTATATAACTCTAGATGCTGAAATAACTCAGCTCACCTATACAGAAAAAACATTTGAAGCTAATGGATTTCTATTCTTCACACTATAACTCAGCAGCTCTCTCTCTCAGCTGATTCAGTGATGTAAAGTTCATAGTGGGTTTATCTGTGTTCTCTCAGGTTCAGACCACCACCATGTGTATCTCAGTGAGTCTGAGTGGTTCAGTGGTTCTGGGCTGCCTCTTCGCTCCCAAGATCCACATCATCCTGTTCCAGCCGCAGAAGAACGTCACCACGCTCAGAGTGGCCACCACCCGCTTCAGTGTCACCACCGGCCCTGGCTCCAGCTTCTCCCAAGGTATAGCACCACTGACCACCAGCTCTGCTGACTACTAGCACCACTGACTACTAGCACCACTGACCATCAGCACCACTGATAACCAGCATCACTGAAAACTAGTATCACTGACCATTAGTACCACTGACATTCAGCATCACTGACAACCAGTACCATTGACACCAGTACCACTGACCATCAGTACCACTGAGAACTAGCACCACTGACCACTATAGCACCACTGAAAACCAGGACCACTGACATCCAGCATCACTGACAGCTAGTACCACTGGCCATCAGTACCACTGACAACTAGCACCACTGAAAACCAGCACCACTGACCATGAGCACCACTGACATCCAGCGTCACTGATGGCCAGTACCTCTGACTATCAGTACCACTGACAACTAGCACCACTGAAAACCAGTACCACTGACATCCAACATTACTGACAACCAGTACCACTGACTAGTAGCACCACTGACAACCGATACCAGTGACCACCAGCACCACTGACCACTGGTCTGACCCAAGCCCAAGCCTGTAGATTATACACAAGATAATCTAGCCATACTTATATTTCTCACTTATATAGTGAGATTTTATTTCAGGTATATTGGAGCATTTATATTGGTTTATTTGCAATTAATTGTTAGCACAATGAAATAGGACGCTTTTACCTTTAAATGGTGTAAGAACAAATTGAGTTACACGCTTTGATATGACAGTGACGATTTACATTCATGGTATTGATGGTAGTGAAAATCTAAAGATACCCTCTTTTTATAATATGAGGAGATTTTAACTCTTAAATGCAGAAGTGTTTCACCAACATACACACCTTGGATTGTTAACATCTACAAACTGCCATGATTGTGTAAAACTGTCAAAATTTCATTGAAAACATCTAAACAATAAAATAAAATATATACAGTCATATTTTAATGTTTGATTTTTTTGTTTGACACTTGGATGTATGAGGGGTGAGGTTAGTGGTGGTACATTGTATAAAACAAGTATTAAACATAACATTCACTTTTTTATCATACAATATGTAGACTGTAAATCAGAAACATTGCCACTTGTAGATTACACTCATAAAATCATAAGAGCTGCTTGCCTTTCAGGTTTACAGCTATGGGGTTCCTTTGTAACAGAACCATTTAGTCATGATAGATTTATAATAATACATGTCCTTTACTTTTCTTATTTTGGGTAGCTCGTTTGAACTATTTAGCAAATTGAACATGAAACAGACTCTTTATATCATAACTACGCTTTATCAGATAGAGTTCTGTGTCTCCAAAGTTTAAGCGATGATGATAGTGAAAATAGCCATAAGTCTGATTAGGATAGCACGTCACTAAAAATATTTTTCTTCCCTGCAGCTTCAGCCGCCAACATTGTGCCAACAGTGTGTAACGGAAGAGAAGTAGTGGATTCGACAACATCATCTCTCTGAAAGACAAGAGTTCCGTCCATCTGCCAAATGCAGTATACAGATGAATCTTATCACTAGTCAATAAAACAGGTGTTTGCTGATATTAAGGAGGCCACTCTCAGTAAAGAGGGCCACTTATGTTGTTCTCAACGTGCTGTGAGTACAATTTCCCAATTCTCTCTCTCTCTCTCTCTCTCTCTCTCTCTCTCTCTCTCTCTCACTCTCTCTCTCTTTCTCTCTCTCTCTCTCTCTCTCTCTTTCTCTGAGAGTAGTTAGAAGTTATCAATGGGATGCCAATTGAAACTCTGTATACCCCTTCTTTTTATGGAACATATGATAAAGTATTATTTGAGACATGGAGTAAAATGATAGTAAATCTGTTCAATGTATTATATACAGGATGTTTTTAATGTAGATTTTTGGTGATTCAGGTTTGTGCTTTCTTGTAATTTATGTAAATAAAATGTGTTTTATATGAATATTAAAAAAAACTGTGGTTGATTCTATTTATTCGCAACATGATTTGATGATCATGTGGATTAAATTTCTACAATGCTAGGTTTTAATCATTTTTATATTTATATATTGTGATTAATAAAAACCTTTAAGGAATGCATTAGGTTTCCAATTACATGAAATTCAATAACACTCATCTTGATGCTTTTAATTTTCATACTTGCAAGAATTTTCTGTAATCATCGGTCACGCAAAGCATTCTGTCATTGGTCAGACCATCATAAATACACGAATGCACTACTATAATATCTCTTTGTGCATAACTTTTCACAGGGTTTATTTTCTTTCAGTGGGACCAAATGGTAAATACAAGGAGTCCTTTAATTAATAAGCATTAGTGTTAACAAAGTAGTTAGTGGGTCATCTTTTCCATGCTGTTTTAGGGCAATTATACTAAGCAATTAGAGCTGAGCTGCATGCTAAACTATAAGCTTTCACAGGGACTTTGTATTTCCTCACCATCTGTTGTGCATCCTGAGCAAACACACGAAAGTCACCTCATGAATATAAGAATAAACATTCAGCCCAACACTGAAAAGAGCTCACATCAGTTACCAGAAGAAGCCAAAAGACATACACAATAAGAGAGCGAACAGCTGGAGAATGTAGACTAACACTGCTAACACTGTTTCTGCTGCTGTATATTATTTCCATCTAGTGGACCCAGGTCAACACTGCAACAAAGACTAGGGCTATTAAACAGGAATTCCACAGATTCTTTAAAATTACATGTAATTCAATTGTTGAGATGTAAACAATATCATTCATAGGTGGTTCATTTTAGAGTAACTTTCTCATATTTCTTTACAGTGGTGGTGATGGGAACCAGGGGGTATGATGTCTACAACACAAATAAAACCATTTTATTTGATATTCAAAACAAGAGTGAACCTACATGTGTCCCCTGAGTTTTACATGTAATGTTGATGATGGTAAGACAGTGGTAAATATTAGAAAAAAATCTTTTAAAAATATAGTTTTCATAGTTTTCTTTGTGCACTATTTTGCATCACAATGCCCTGCATGTACCCATGAATAGATTTAAAAAATATAATTTAAGCTAAAATATAATATCTTATTACATACATATTATCACAAAACATAGTAGTAAATCTTTGAAAAATAGTTTTCTTTGGGGCCTATTTTGCCTCACAATGTCCTGCATGTACCCCTCTGCCACAAATACATTTTAAAAATGTGTTTTACACCAATATCTTATTACACATAAAACAGTTTCTCAGGCATCAGGAAATGTTTTTGTAACTATTTCATATAATAACTTTATGTGGTAGGTAGCGTTTAAAGGTATTAAACTCTTCAGATGTCTGGTTCCTATCGCCACCACTGTGGACAATTCTGACACAGTGATTTTCTCTATAATGGAGCATTTCATGCCAAACCACTCTGAATGACTTTATTTACATCTTATTGAGAGAATTATGCCAACATTTTAAAAAATCTGTTGAATTTTCTTCTTAACCCCTTACAAGGCCAGGGCCTGTTGGCAGGCCCAGGTTTTATTACACACTTATATAACCTAAAAATAGCTCAGTCAGTTTGTATTGAAGTCCCTGTAGTTACTGAATAATAAGCCTTAGTATGTAATAAGCCTGGGTGTTAAATGACTGGTTCACAGAATTTCACTTTTACCCCACATTGTTGATCATCCAAGACATGTTTGGTGTATGACATTTGCTTCTTTAGTTTTGTACTGGAGCTACAAGGCTAATGTCATGAGAATCTATGTCACTAGAAACGTGTCCCATAATGTGTTAGCTACATCAGCCTTGTAGCTCCAGTGCTAAACTAAGAAGCAAAAATCTTGGCTGACTGACAAGGTTTGGGGTAAATCTATGTATCTTTTTTAGTGATCCATTGCTTTAAATGAGCAGGACACACCAGCTCCTCACTTCTATTTCAGAATAACCTAATCAGTTTGCATTGTTTTCCATGTAGTTACTGAATAAGAAGTCTTAGGACGTAATAGGCCTGGGATTCTAAGGGGTAAACACAGCTAACCAAAGAATGAAGGCTGCTCACTGACACTATTATGTAAGTGCACAATAATTAAAGTCCTGATGAGATCACCGCAGGCCTACTTTATTGTTCATTAAATCACTAATAAATATCCTATACTAATGGGGGCCTAGTTGATTAGTCTTCCTTCCAGTGTGTGGTCTGTGGGAATCCAGACATCATGCTGGAAGCAAATTTCAAAGCAAATGACCCTATAAATTGTCATTGGCAGATTCCCAGGGATAGACTGAAGTGATTTGCTCACAGCCGATACCAATGCAAGTACCTGATTAATCGCTGGACAGATGTAGCTGAGCCATTCATGTGGACATTTTATAGGCTGTATTAATCAATCTTTTCCATACAGAAATTATTCTGAGCCGAATACTTTGAAAAAATACCCTGTTCCCAATGGTGATTTCATATGGTTGCATTCTTTTGATATAACTTGTCTACACTCCCATACTTATATCACTGTCATTTTAAACCCTTTTCAGATGACAGCAAATCCGTCTGCTGTGGTTTGACCAGGATCAATCACAGAGTTAAAGAAAAAGGCATTTAGCATTTATCATAATACCTCATAGTTCAATTCCCACCATCAAATGACATGGAGGAAATTGTCCTTTCGAGCTGATGAACTGATCTACGTTACAGTGAATTATTCATCCATTGTCTAAGACATCATTTATAATGATCAGGTTTCTAGAGCTATAACTCATTCTCTACCAAGGTCAGCTATACTGTTAGAGCACCAAAAGCAGGAACACTGCTCAATATACTGTAGTATTCATATTTTGAGGGAAGATATAGCCTATTTTCTGCCCAATGACAGCTGGGATAGGCTCCAGCACCCCACCGCGACCCAGAAGGATAAGCGGTTTAGATGATGGATGGATGGATATAGCCTATTTTAAAAACAGTAAGAGTTGTTACTATATTTTTTAAGTCATTTAAATGAATCTTGCCAAGAATGTGAAATTGAGCTATACAGTTGTAAGCAAAGGTTTGGGCACCCCTGGTCAAATGACATGTTTTGTTGAAAATAAGTACACATCCTCTATAGAGAAGACCCTCAGCACAGTTTTAACGCTTACAATCCCAGGATTATTACATACTAAGGTTTTTTTTATTATTCAGCAACTAAAGGGACTTCAGCACAAACTGGTTGAGCTTTTCTTGACTTATAGAAGTGTGGAATAAAACTCACCATTTAAATGGTTAATGCACAATTACTGTTTACTTGCTAAATTAAAATATTAAAATAAATAAATAAATAAAACATTAAATGTGGCCTGTGCATGAGTGATGCAACATTTTATATTTTATGTTTTCTTTTTTTTCCAATATGTTAAACTCAGCAAATAATTAGAAATGCACTAATATTTATAGAAAAATGTCCTACATAAATGTGTTTCCTGTAAAAGATGTGTTCACTTATTTTCACTTAGAAAATCAACAAAACATGTCATTTGACTGAGGGTCAAACTTTTGCATACAACTATGACTTTTTGGGGATTTTTAACTATCATTCTACATTTTCTGGACATTGCATGTTTAACTGTGTTACACAATACATAATGGCTAATATCATTTAATGGTTTATTCTCTAATCAGCTCTAACAATCTACCAAAGTGTTTAACATTAGAATAGATATGCTGAAACTAACTCCATAGTAGATTTAAAACATTCTGACTCCTGTTTTTATAACTGCTTTGTTTCCCAGAGCAGAAGGATTTGTTTCAGTGGTCTTAAACTGTCAGGTGCTTTTACACGACTAGTTCACTCACTGTTCCAGCAGCAGTAAAATCAGGCAGTAATCTGACAGTACGACTTTAACAGAGTTATCTATTGTTCCCATTTATGGCAGCTGCTAACCTATAAAGTGTGGAACAGGACAAGGTGCAGTAGGCCTATATAATGTACAACATGGGCAGATCTTTTCCATTATCTAATGTTCAAATGGTCTCAGATGGCACAGAGCTCCCCTCTGTCAACTGATTAACACAGATTAACAAAAGGTAGGAGTGGACAGATCGATACTGCAGTTTTGATACTAAGAGTTTTCTTTGAAGAGCAAACTCAATATCTGTTTTTTAGAACACTGAATGGAACTCATACTTCCACTCTTTTCTTCTGCTCCCCATTTTCACACAAACAACTATTGCGCATCCTGAAAGTCATCAGGAATAAGAATGAACATTCAGCCCAACAGTGAGGAGAGCTCACATCAGTTACCAGATGATGCCAAAAGATATAGCAAATAAGAGTCTGGACTACTGAAGAAGGAAGAGCAGCACGCTCACACTGTTTCTGCTGCTGTACGTTACTTCCATCTAGTGGACACAGGTCAGCATTGAAAGCCTTTTTAAAGACCACTTTTGACATGTATGTGGTTTTATATACCAAAAACAGTAATAATTCAATTTGTTTGATGATTTTCTAACCCCTCTTTATCCATTAAAGGGGAATTCCCCAGACTTTTCTACATAAAATCTCTGAGGTTTCTACATAATTAAATTGTTAATATGTAAACAAAGTAGTGTGGTTTAATTTAAAATGCTCCATTGCAGAGAAACTTGCTGAGTGAGAATTGTCTGGTGGTGGTGATCAGAACCAGATGTCTAAAATGTTTACTTCCTTTAAAAGCTCCCTTGCAGAAAGTTATTATTATTATTATTATTTTATTATTACATGAAATGGTTACGAATATGCTGCCTGGTGACTGAGACATTGTTTTCTGACTGTTCGGAGATAAAGTTTTGGCCTAAATAAATTTTAGAAACCGATTCATGGTGAAGAGGTACATGCAGGGCGTTCTAGGCACACTAGTCCGCAAAGACTTTTTTTTTTCAAATTTACCACTATTTTACTATCATCAGCATCACATATGAAACTGTAGATGCATGTAGGTTCACTGGTGGTTTTGGATAGTAAATAAAATGGATATATTTAGGTTGCAGAGATTGCGATCTCTGGTTTATATCACCACCACTGTCAAGAAATCAGATTTAGTAAGTTTCTCTTTTCAATTTTGAAAAATTGGTGGAATTTCCCTGACTGAAATATGTATACAAGCTCTTTTCTGATTGACTGCGCTGGATTGTGCCTCATTCAAAAGGCAGTCTAGGCTGAAATACTTACAACTTCCATGTGAATGGGTGCAGCTAAACCCGCTGTAGAGTAAAATAGGCGCATATATTCAAGTCTCTTTATCTTTTTGCATGGCCAATTTATATGGCCACGCCTCCTATGCAATAAATATTAAGGTTGTTGAAATGATCACAGGGAAGAAGAGTAATGCTAAATGCATACTGTGTGTTATAAAATTATAAAATACTTTCTCTTTGGAAATTTGTCCGAAAAGGAAATGGATATTATTAATTTTTGGAACTGTTAGTTTATGTTGAAACGTCATAGACATTTTGGCTTAACATGCCAAAATAATAACTTATTTCCTTTAAAGTTTGACATAATATTTTGGAATAATTTAATTTCTAATAAATTATAATAATTATTTATTACGTTCTCAAGTCAAACTCTCGAGATAATACGTAAAAATTCTGAGAAAATAAGTCATTATTTTAACATAATAAGTCAATATTTCAAGAAAAAACAAGTCTGGATTTTTCTGAGCTAAACTTTCCTGGTCATGGAGCTTTAAGACGGAGGGCGTGTGCGCACGCAGTGAGGAACAGTCACTCCTCCCGGAGCTCACTGACTGACTGACTGACTGAAAGAGAGAGAGAGAGAGCGCTACATTTACTTAATTGTTGTTAAGCACGGTAAGTTTGATGTTTATTTCAATCAGTCAGCCTGACATACATCGATAATAGCTGTTAAAGACTGATAAGTGTTCCTATCAAACGTATTATGTTGAGTGCATAGCTGCGTCTTGTTCTTACGAATGGTAAATTACTGGTTAATTAGCTTCAGATGCGACTTTGCATGTTGCATGTTGTAACTACGCTAACGTTTCGCTAGCTGCACTGCTAACTTTGAATGTGCGCTTCCACGGTATGTAGGTCAGCTAGTTAGACGTGAACTTCTCCCCGCATTGAGCACGGCTCGTACTGAAACTCTCCGTGCTACTGTAACACAACTAGCAAGCTAGCTAACGTAGGTGGCTAGCTTTTGACATACCGGTTAGTGTCCAAATTAGCAGAATAAGTTTATTTCCTCCTGGGCTGTTGGCTGACATTAGCAGGGGATGTTTAAGGCTACAGAAGTGATGTTGACATGCTAACACTAGCTAACTAACTAAACAGCTGACGGAATCTCTAGGGACTCCGTTGGGTTGTGCGCCAGAAGAGAGCATATACTTCTCTTCAGCGGACACTAGAGGCACTAGATGCAGTCGGCTGCTGGCCACTACTTACTGTAAACCCCGTCATGTCTGGGCAAGCCTTCGGTATTGAGTCGTCTTACTGGAACTGACCACCGCGGCCAAATCCAGATTCATGACCGCCCTACATTTGAATGCTTGGCTCAGACGTTTCTATGCTTTTCAGCTGTGCTTGGCTTCGCAGCCTCTCCTGTTTCTCTGTCAGTGATAGTTACACGTGCATTCACGTAATCGATGTGAACTGCATATATAAACTGTCCCAAGGGATTTAGACACCCCTTCTAATTTGTAGATTTAGCAATTTTAAAGGCTAATTAAACAGATCTTCAAAATGTCTGCTTTATTCCATCACTGAGAAAAAACAAAGCTGTGTAGATTGTTTTGGTGAAAAACACTCCATTCTGAAGAAACTTCATGAGTCAGAATAGGCTCACAATGGCAGTGATAGGAACCTGGAGTCCAAAGCCTGTAAAAGTTAGCTCATAGAAGGCTCCCTCACGGAATTGTAATGAAAACGTAAACAGAGCATTGTAAAGAAAAACGGCACCTCAAGAAAACTGTTTATGTATTCAGTACCATTTAAGTGCTGTTAGCATTACATACTAAACTCACAATGCGTGTGTAGATAATAACAATAAACAAAACTGGTTGTTTTCGCAACGTAGACGTCATGATACCTGATTCCTATCACTAATGTGAAGAAATCAGAATCTGTTGATTTCAATGTGTAATGGACCATTTTTCTTCAAAACACTATGTGGCTTTGGTTTCACCTCAAGACACTGAAATTCTTTTCTATTCTTGTCTATACCTTTCTATTACTATAAGTCAAACATTAGTCAAAGCATGTAACCCTGTGAATAATCTGGCAGTGTAAGCATTACACCTATACTGCTATATCTGTTTTAGGAAAAGGAGAAATGGCGCCAAAGAGAAAGGCAGCATCTGCAGCCAAAGCGGGAGGGAAGAAGATAAAGGAGGAGCCAGAGACCCCAGTAAAAGACAAGTTTGCATCTGCAAAGGAGGCTCTGAAAGCCACAGGACCACAGACTAAAGCCAAGAGGAAACCAGACAGCTTTTGTAACCTGTCAAATCCTGAGGTTATAACAGAATTTTTTTTTTCCATATCCATTTTAATTCATTGTGAGTTAAGTTACAGTTTACAGATGATATCCACTTGCACGTCTTACATCACTATCTATCAGTTAAAACCACACAAATGATTATTTCTTCGTATTTCTGTTCTATATATGAATGTGTAAACATCAACTTCCTTACATTGAAATTTCCAGTAAATTGCAAAACACCCCATTATAAATAGAGTTGGAAGATCTGTGTCAGTGGTATGGAACATATACAGGAGTCAGTATTTATTTAATACATAACTATTTCTCTGTGAAAACCCTCATACCAATTATTTGGTCTTACAGGTGCACGAGGACTATGACTGTATGCTGAATCAGACTAACATAGGAAATAACAACAACAAATTTTATGTGATCCAAGTCTTAGTTGATGGAGGAAGGTACTATTGCTGGACAAGATGGGGCAGAGTGGTAAGTTACATTTGTGTCTAATATAACATTATTATATTAAGTTCATTATAGACTGCATTATTTTGTTTTACCTCTGAAACAGCAGGCCTGTGCACTTTTTTTAGTGCTAGCTAAAAAGTCTAAAATGTTTAGTAGCACAAAGAGATCTTTCCTAGCACACATAGGACACCTGGTCCATTTTAAAACATATTTTTGTAATGTAAACATAAATTGCTTTTACAGACATTTTAGTTTATACATAACTGAGAATTTTAATGAATTTACTTATTAAAAAATTTCTGAAACCATAGCAGGAAAAAAAAGAAACCAGAGCAGCATACGCCCATACAAGGGGACTCTTTGCCTTTTCTCCTAGGTTGACGACTTGTCAAGATTTTGGCTTGTTGTGGTAACATGTAAAACTGAAAAAAATATGTTTTCATTGTTTGTTGTTCTGTTTAACTTCACCTATCACTGTTAGCATACCTAGAGAAATAACCACACTACCTGATGTGCCTCATTAACAATGCATCCATGACTACGCACCCTTGGCAATGCACCCTTGGCACTGAGCTAGAGTTAAAGCTCTCATGTTTCATGGCAGGATAATAATATAATATCCATTACGTTAGTATATTGTCTGTTGTTGCAGCACGCCAATTAGTCTGTATGTAGTGTTTGTTTCTATCGCAGATTAAGCAAAATCACTGATAGCAATGCACACAATTGCACATGTGTGAGTGAATAAATATTTATCTTTGCACAGAATATATTTTATTCGCAAATTACTCACAATCAAAACTGTCACACTGTGCACACTGTAATTCACTCTGTAATTTGTACCATTTAAGTATTGAATTTCAATACCCAACCTTTTTTACTTCTGTTAGTGCTTATAGAGTTCTCCTTTCTTTTTTTTTTCTTTCCCCTTTCCAGGGAGAGTCAGGACAGAACAATTTAGCTGGCCCTTCAAATGTTGATACTGCCGTTAAGAACTTTGAGAAGAAATTCAAAGACAAGACGAAGAACAACTGGAGTGATCGGGAAAACTTTGTCTCTTATTCTGGGAAGTACACTCTGATAGAGGTGGATGGGGACCAGGATGCTGAAGTGAAAGTAAATAAAAAAAATTCAACAAATTAAGTAGTTAGATACTGTTATTTCAACAGTAAGACTAAATATGACCTATATTTTCAGCAGTTACTTATTCTAAGCCCTACTCGGACAGGATTAGTTTTCCATGGGGAGATGAGGTAATGCCAGTCTACCTCAGGACATCTGTAACGTTTATGAGCGATTCGCACAGGAAAAGAAATCTCGGTTTATATGACGGAGATGGGAGTGGCTACTCGATTTGTGCCCGCCTCACCCTAAAAAATAGTAGAAAAGATGTTAAAACATTTAATTTGTTAAATTTCATTTGCCCTAACCATTTACCCCACTGTCTTAAGTGAATGCAGTGCATCATATCTGTAATTTTTATAAGTTTTGAGTACACATGAGACAAGAGAGTACATTCCATATTGGCTTGATTTAACCACAGAGAACAATGAGGCTAGCTTCTTTTTTGAATTTTACTGTTCCACCTTAAATGGTGCAGCAGTTACAGGTACATTCTGGTGCCTCAGGCATTCAAATAATAACTGCTGCACCATTTAAGTTGGAATGGGAAAGTTCTAACAAGAAGCTGACTTAAGCTTATTCAGAGAACACAAGTAAGTGCTTCTTCGACTGTCTCCATACTTGAAACAAAAACCCTTTCCACATGATATGATAGCATTTTACTGACATGTCGACAGGATTAATATAACGTGAGGTCGTTTTTATATTTTTTTGGAAGGTAAAATGCGTCGATATCCTTACTTGCCACAGTGTGCAGTCGGTAAAATGATTGACATGGTGCATTTGGGCGTAAAATCACAGAAACACCGGTAATAATTTCATTATCCCACTTTCTCCTGTTAAACTAATCCCATCAGAATAGGGCTTTACACATTTAACAATGAACGCAGTGGTTTTTGACATGGATGTAAGGTTATTGGAAAAAAACGAACTGGTGTAGGACGTTCACATTTACATGTAGGTTCTTTAAAAAAACATTGTTCTTTATGTAGGAACATTTATTTATAAAACCCTTTTCAGATGGCATTAGTTTTTCACAAGGAGGTGGGGTAATGTGATTTTTACCAGCTTTTCTCAGTGATTTTAGTCTCATCCGATTGTGCCACGTCAGTCACGACCTGCTTCAATAAACATTCCAGCACCTTTTACCTGCTGTAAAACGAGCCGTAAAAATAACCTCAGTTTATATTAATTTTGTGTGAATTGACATGTTGGTAAAACGCCGTCATGTAGAAATAGAGTTTCTTAAGTTTGGAGACAAAGAAGCATTTGCTTTTGTTTTCTGTGGCTAAAACCAAGCCATTATGTAACATTACAGTCTTATCTCACGTGTACAAAAAAAGAAAAAGTTTGATCTTATGCAGTGAAGTTGACTGCAGTGCGTTCCCAAGCTGATGGTGATGCTAACTGACTGTATTCACATAGGACAGCTAGATAAATGGTTCAGGTAAACCGAATGTTAATTAAATGTTTTGACGTTTTCTGATTTTATTCTGGGGTGAAGTGCGTAAATCGAGTACCCACTCCCATCTCTGTCATTTCAGATTTCTTATCCCGTGCAAACTGATCATAAACATTACAGACATCCGATGGCAAACTGGCATTACCCACCTCCCCATGGATAACTAATCTTGTCTGAATAGGGTGTAAGAGTATAGTGACCGCTTCCCACATTAACTCCAACAAAGTGGGTCTCCATTGTTTGTGTCCATAGAGATGTGACGTGTGAATTATAGTATAAGTAGTGAATTGTATTAAAACGTGAATACTGTTTGGATAACTCCTGCACTCTATCACTGTTGCTGGTTTTATGTGTTACTCAGGTTGATGTTGTAGATGCTGGAGCTGCAACGGTGAAAAAGAACATTCTGCCTTGCACACTGGATGATTCCACTCAAAGACTCATAAAGTTCATCTTCAACAATGACATGTTCAAAGAAGCCATGGAGAACATGAACCTGGGTGTGTCCTCAGTTCAACTTGTTTGTCTGGTTTAGACCTCAAGATGGCCAAAGACTTTTAACTTTCTAAACCTGACTTACAGCTAAGGCAAGGTTATTATAGGCTTGTAAGACAGTATTGCAGTGACTGGCTGTTTATTAAAGTCAGCCCTCAAAAAGTCGGTGTAAGCTTGATTGGGATGTCTGACTGTTCTTCTAAGTCAGTTTCTAAGTCATCTTCACAGAGCAAGGCATGTTTGAAAATGAAAGAAAAATGAAAATGATCTTGTATTTCTAACTAATTCTGTCTCCTTACACAGACATTAAGAAGATGCCACTGGGGAAGCTGAGTAAGCAGCAGATTGCAAAAGGGTTTGAGGCATTAGAGGAGATTGAGGAGGCCATAAAGAAGAAAAGTAATCAAAACACATTAGCAGAGCTCACTTCTAAGTTCTTCACCATTATTCCGCATAATTTTGGCCGCAATAGACCACCTGTCATCAATGATGCTTCCATCCTTCAGAGCAAGAAGGAGATGCTTCTGGTAAAGTGCTTCTCTACATTTTTTCCCTTGCCTTCCATACATTTTTTGACACTGTCAATGCATTTTCCTAGTTTGACCCTTCAAGCCATCCATAGTTCCAGCCTGAAGCCCAGCTGCTTGTGTGCTGTTGCTGTGGCTCTGCGACTACAGCCTTCTTGCTTGAGCTTTAAAATATCAAGTTCCATTGATGGCTCTCTTGATAAACACTACTCCAAAATATCATTTACAAGCAAAAAAAAGTACTACTTATAAGGTAAACTACGCTGGACAGTGCTCGCAGGAGAACTATGAAGGAATTAACAATCCACAAACTAACAAAAGCAATAGTGGAAAGCTCCAGTTACCCTTGAAACTAGATGTAATATAAGAGTGTAACGTGATGCTAATAAGTTAAACACAGTTTCCAGTTTTCATGTTCACCCTACATACATGCATGTTTGGGTTAAAGTTGATTATTAAAGATAAAGAATGCATACTGATGAAGGTTATTTTGTCCACTTAGAACAAAATCACTACTTTTTAAATAGAAAAAAACAAATTTCTTAGGGTCCAATAAGAGCAAACAAGATGAATAAGAGGAATTGCAAAGAACTGCACAAACTACCGTGAATAATCACAATGAATAATTTTACATGTTTGACAGCCTTAACTCACACGCTTGTAAAAAAAAAAAATACAGTATGTGTTCTCTCTTGTTGTCACCCCTGGTAGGTCTTGGCGGATATAGAGATAGCCCAATGCCTCAAAGCTGAGTCAGAAAAGGCTAAAGAGGAGATGATAGAGACTGCGCCTCATCCAATAGACCAGGACTACCAGTCTCTCAAATGCAACCTCACCTTACTGGATAAGAAATCCAACGAATTTAAGGTACAGTGGCCTGTTAAATTTTAAATTCATACAACAGCAAATGCTTGATGTACAAACCTGAATAAGATGTTAAGGTTTAGAGTGAATTGAGAAATGCTCTAACATGTATAAAAAACCTAACAGCAAATTTCATGTCTAATTGCCATTTGCCATTTCTCTGACATGTGTTAAGATAATTGAGAAGTACTTAAAAACCACTGGCCAAGGACTCACCTTAGTGGATGTGTGGGAAGTAGACAGAGAAAAAGAGGTGAGATCATGTTAAACTGTGTGTAAAGTATGTATATATTGTATGTTTATGTGCTGTGTGTAGTATTTTCAATTGCTCGGATCCTAGATGTTCACCCGTTCAGCTTAACTTTCCAATTAAATATGTATATTGCAGTGTCTGTGCGTGAATGTGTATCTGTGCTTGTGTAGGCAGAGCGCTTCACTGAGAACGATGCTGTGGAGAACCGGAAGCTGCTATGGCATGGCACAAATGTGGCAGTGGTCGCGGCCATTTTGAAGAGTGGTCTTCGCATCATGCCCCACTCTGGTGGACGGGTGGGCAGGGGGATCTACTTTGCCTCTGAAAATGCAAAATCTGCTGGTTATGGTGAGGACTGATGACTTCCTCATTAAGTGTCAACACTGGAATAAAGGAGAAACTAGGAAGCATTTAAGATTGTCTTGAAACTTGGCCAGTTTTCATTGTGGCATTATTACCACCACTGGTACCTCCCACCTGCTGTTTTCACTAGGCCTATGCGATAAGGCAAACACACATCACAGATGATTGACAAGTGACCTGATGACAAAGCCAATAATCTCACCATTACTGGGGAGAACAAATTAAATTTTAAACAGCTTGCTAGGCTATAGTAGAGCACTGTCTTGACTTTATTTATTTAATTTTTTGGGAAAGATTAAGACTCAACTCGCATGCAGTTACCCGAAAAAGAGGACCCTGACCGGTACAGGCCTAGCTGAATTCTGGAGTGTCTACTTTGCAATGACAGAAAACACCTTGGTTTCTTAGTTCATTAATCATATGAACATTTTACCTGTCTGAAGTTCTTCCACAAGGGGGAGCGAAGAGCCATGAACCCATGCCAGCAGTACTTCATACATGCATGTGTAAAATGTTTGAATTTAATGTGTGCACAGAAAGGCATATACATGTCTTTTTTAATTTGGTATCCTTTCTTGCAGTCCGCCCTTCCAACAACACTGGGATCATGTTTCTCAATGAAGTTGCTCTGGGAAGGGAACACACCATCACTGTAGATGACTGTAGCCTAAGAAAGCCTCCTAATGGCTATGACAGTGTGGTAGCACGTGGAAGACAAGAACCAGGTTTGGATTATCTTTTGTTTCCTCAAAATTCTATCTTCTGTTGTGGTAGCTGTTAATATCTGCAGAAATTTGAACTAGTTTCATGTAAGATTCTTACTTTTGTAGTTACTGAAACCTTCTTATGTCCTCAATCACTGTTTTATTTATTTATTTATTTATTTATTTATTTTTGTACTTCACAGATCCCTCAAAAGATGTCGTCATTGAGTTGGATGGTAAGAAGGTGGCAGTGCCACAGGGAAAACCCATAAACCAGCCTCAATATGAAAACAGCCATTTCTATAACAGTGAGTATCTAATTTATAAAGAGAGTCAGTGTCGCATCCGCTACCTGCTGGAGCTCCACTTTAACAGCTTCTACTAAGCAGACTGGTAAATTAGAAAAAAAAGGAAATTGTTCTGGTAATAACATGAAGGTTTAAATTGCACTTTATTAAGCAAAAGACTTTGCTCTGTCAAGAGTCTGATTTGCTGACATATCAAGCATAGTTTCACGTGAGTAAATCACACAGATTGATATCCGAGATCACTCGGCAACCGAAAAGTGATTTATGAACATACTTTTCATGTGAGAGACACTTAATAGAATCATTTTGAATGTTGGTATATACCAAGGTACTTAATGTTCTTCATAAATCTCTCAACCTGTGAATTATTACAGTAAATGAGCATACCTTCTAATAATTCAAAATGTTTTGCAATACATTTGTAAAGACATTTTGTAGTTAAACATTTACATTTTTTCAGTTACAAATGTAACATTTTCAATTTTATCATTTTGGGTTTTCTGTTTGGAAAAGTCAGGTTCATGTTAGAGTTAGAAGTTATATTTCTTTGTTCAAATCTTGTACATTATTAAAGTTACATGGTGCCGCTATATTCATCCATACTGCTTGAGCATTGTATGGGCAAATAGACTCTTGAAAAAGCTTGAGAATTGCATTTAGAATATGTTGCCTTTTGCTTTTGTTATCTACATGATGTAGATGTAAAGCAACATTGGTGATGTTTTTGGGCTTCCTTTCAAAGGAGCTTTAGTTTCAAATGTACGTAAATTTGTCAAGTTATATGATAGCTTTTTATCTTATTTCAAAATTGGCTTTTCAAAAGTCTTACTTGGCATGGCTCTCATTCCAAATCCTTCAAAATACAGTATAATGTGGTTGCTAATGTTTTTGTTATAAGCATAGCGTTTTCAAGTACTCGCTCACAAGATATTATGATGGCCCATTCATCATTTACTCTTACGTGTAAACATTTATATGTGTTTGGTTATTATTCCTTTTTATTATGATCTTACATTACTTAATATGTTATGCAGAGATCACTTCATGCTTATGCTTCATTCTTTTAGCACCATGACAGATCAGTAATAGTGGCTACTGATGTTCTTTTGAAAATTGTATAACAATTTGGCACTTGATAATGTATCCCTTCATATTGCACTTCAGGATGTACTGTAGATTATGGACAGCATTTAGCCAAAGACTTTTTTTTTCATGCTTCAGAGTTATTTCACACTTGTTATAATAGATTTTGAATGAATGTTTAGGTCCTAAGAGTGCCTTGGTGACGTCATTGCTGTAATAACTTTAAATCATGCAAAAAATAAATAATTGTGTTAACCCCTCAAAGACTTGTGGCATTATTGGTACTGTAGCCAGTAGGTGTCACTGTTGAGAATTTACTCCACATCTGCCCATGCACTCAGTCAAACCCCTAACATTCTGTTTGCTTAGCCAGACCAGCTGTATGCACAAAGTGTTTTAAAGGCCTATTAAATGAAGCCGTTTGATGAGTCGTTTGTTCACGCTCAGCTACATTAACCAAGATTTCCTTCTATTCTTTTTGTATACAAAAATGTTAAACATAACAATATTTTATTACAATATTGTTACAAATTTTAATAATCTTAAAAAAATGGGTTTTTTTAGATTATTTATAATAGAACCCACCCACCCCACCCAACCACACACACTTCTGCCATTATTAAGCTTAGTCCACTTAGTATTATCTATAGCAGCCTCATGAGGATCCACCTGAGATGCTTTTCCAACTGTACTGAAAAAGAAACACAGATGCTGAGATCTTGTTTGATGTTGAAAGGTACATATAATGAATATTTTGAATATAAATGTATACATAGACTTTTTTCCCCACTTTTCTTTCCAATTTAGCCATGACCAGTTCTACCCTCTAGCTGGGTCTCCCCCATCACATGATGCTACAAAGCAGGGTCAAGGCCAGCTTCTTCTGAAACACATGAAACCAGCACCAACACAGTTTCAAACTGCCACTAATACAGTGGTATTGGACAGCTCAACACGCTTGGAGGAGAATAGTGATAGCTAATTATGTTATGTCTAACATATGCCTAACATACGTGGCATAATTAGGCAGTATAGGCCAGCATTGTGCTATTGGTGGAGGGAGCGGGTGATTCCAGTTACGCTCTGTTGGACTTGTGACCACTGATGGCAGAGGCATCGCCTGGTTCCAAACTTTAGATTTCCTGACAACAAGGCCAATGCTTAGACAGTTACTCCACTTCATTTCTATATAGCCTATTAATTAGAAAGTTATGGAACTATATGGATCTGTGGAAAGATTGAAGATAATGAAAACCATACATTCAGGAAGGTGTTTTGACTGGCAGCGTACATAATACATGCAGATTATCAGATTGCTTTAGCTTTGTTGTTTAAGTACATTTTGTTCTTTAAAATGCCCTACTAATGTAATATGGTTGTAAATCTGTGACGTTACAGCAGTTCTTTAGGAAATTATCTGAAATTTTACCACAAGTGATTGGATTAGATTGTTTTGGTGTGATTCAGACTCATTTTTAAGTTTCTTTTCTTCTTTAGAATGATGGTTGTGTCTTAACAAGAGTAAGTGTTACACCATAGTGGAATATAGACAAAATAGTTACAACAGGTGTTTTGAATATTTGATAATTCTAGGAGTTTTATTTTGTCCAGAACTCCGAATTGCATATTATACAAACTGGTCATAATCGAAAGTGATGCAATGGAATTTTCCACTTGCAGATTAAAGCATTGCAATGCATTATTACACCCTTACACCCTATACAGTATAATCAGCCAAGGCACATGACAGAAGGACATAATGAATTGACAACCATCTGGTAAAATATATTTGGATGCAAAACTCACATTACAGTCACATAGTCACATTACAATTGAGTACCTCTTAAAATGAATGACGTATGCCTTTTAAAGCAGGGTAGAACGGATTTTCCCTCTTGCTGCCTGTAAGCTGGTGTATACTAGGACCCAGGGGAACACTGACTTTCCTGAGGACAGAGGAGCATGTGTCTGTTTCAAAGAGGAAGAGAGAGGAAAAAAACCCACAGGGAATACAATGTGTGACAGTCACAGCCCTACACAGCGCTAGAGACAGAGCAAGAGCACTGAGAGCATCCTGATAAGACACCAGCCTAAGTGGTGCAAAATATTTATCAACACCGGCAGAAGCTGACTGAAGAGGTGGCATCCTCTCCTCTCACCTGGGCCTTGGAGAACACCACAGAACACCTGTTCACTCACTTCTGAGCTTCTCCAGGATCTATTGATAGGGATTCCTCTCTTAGGACACAAACTGGATGCTAACACAGTGGAGCTGGATGCTGACAGCATTAACTTGTCCACCTGACAAGTAATGTAGGCTGTGATGTAGACCACCTGAGGAGAACAGAGGATTGCACTTCGTTCTGTGGGTGAAGAAATACCACAATGTTCTGGAACCTGCAGGTATAAGATTTTTCGCCTGTGTTTCTTCATACTTCTTAATACATCCGTACAAGGACGTTTTCACCGCATATTGAAAGAAATATGTGGGTGGTGTGGTGGAAAAGTCAGAGCACACACAGAAACTAAATGAGGTGACAGAGCCTAGCTGCTCTAATCAAATGTAGCTCAATTTCTTTATAACCCACAATACACAATATATAAATATTGCATTCATTTATTTATATATGTTTCATTCTTAATATGCTTTTATTAGGGGTATCAACAGCAATCAATAACAAGAAGTACTGAAAGCCAACTTGTTTTTCAGTTGTAGAGTAAAATGTAGTGCTGGTGTATTATTATGCATCAGTGCATCATTGAAAGGAAGTGGGGGATGCAGCCATCACATGGGTTTGAGGGGAGAGGGTCACCACTTATAATCAAGTGTGACTCGTGATTTATACAGAAACAGAATACAAATGTGTTATGTTTTCTCCAACTGCAATGCTCTGTCAAAGTCAAAGACCCCCCTGCACTTTCATTATATACAGTCAGGGTTAAACAGTTGAGTGTCCAGTAAAAAGTCTCTTCAATGTTTTATATGTTTGTTTATGTGTTTCTGCAGTCAGTGTGCAGATAAAGGTTTGTATGAGTGAGGGGGAAGGAGGTATATAGTTCTGAGGAATCACTAGATACTTTACTGAGGTAGCTGTCGAGTTCATTAGAATAAGCGTGTGCTCTTTTATTCTGTTCATTTAACGTCCACTATTTGTAAGGCAAGTGCAAAAATGTAAGCTAAAATTTAAATCAGTTGACCTTATCATTGAATGGTTAAGATGTAAACACAGTCATTTAGAGTCGTTCAAATGCAAAATGCTCCGTTCCAAAGAAATTTACTGAGCGAGATTTGTTCACAGTGGTGATGACAGGAACCATATGTCTTTAGTGCTTCTAAAAGTCTCACAGAAAGCTATTACAAATGGTTAAAAATACTGTTTCATTGTAGTTTTGCAAACAAATTTTCACCTAAATTGATTTTTTTAGTCTGTTCATGGTGGAGAAAATAGTACCCAACATATACATATATATATATATATATATATATATATATATATATATATGTATATATATATATACCACATTTTATGTGTACATATAAAAATTCAGAAGGCGTGTAGGTTCAGTGGTTATTTTAGATAGTAAATAAATGGCTAAATAAGTAATATATAAATAAATAATATATAATTATATATTATATATAAATATATAATAAATTTAGATAGTAAATAAATGGCTATGTTTGTGTTGTGAGCCCTAGTTCCTATCAACACTATCATAAAGAAAATATGAGTCAATTCTCTTCAATTAACCATCTCATATCAAAACACTGACTTTTTCCACATCTCAACAACAGAATTATGCAGAAAGTTTGAAAAATCAGAAAAATCTGTGGAATTACCCTCTAAGTGTAGTAGGAATATGTCATAGTAGCAGCAGAAACGGTGGAATATGTAATGAATCTGACTGTCAAAGTATATTTTTCTGTTAGTGGAAAAGAGGACAGGCTTACATAATGTTATCATTATCAATTTAAAATCCTTTTCCTGGCCTTTTCTACCAAAAACTTCTTTTATATTTATGCTGTTATATTCATTCTGGCTGTTTAATTTAGAAGAATGTGAACAGCAGTTAAATGACTGACATCAAGAAAGCTCTAAAATAAAAAATAATGATAAAAAACTATAATTTTTTTATTTAACATAATTAATACATGTATATAATACATTTAATTTAAAATAACTAACATGACATAGCATTAACTGCAATGCAATACTATCACTTTTTTTCAGAAATACATCTGAAAATCGGAGGGAAAAATATTCGGCCATGGGGGATCCTGACTTGGTGTCCGAACTTTGAACTATGGAAAAAGCTAGGTCAGGTCTTATGCTGGGTCTCCTGACCAATCAAACAACTCCAAATGACACATCTAGCCAATGGGGGCCCACCAAGCCCACTCCACCGAGTATGGAGGAGGTTATCCACTCTGAGTCCCAGATTAAAGATCTGGTGGGGTTATTCTGCATGGTGACCCTTAACCTTGCGGCCCTGTTGGGCAACACAGGAGTTATGGTGGCCATTGCCCGAGCTCCACATATGAAAAGATATGCATTTGTGTGTCATCTTTGTGCAGTGGATCTACTTTGTGCAATATTACTGATGCCTCTTGGGATAATATCAAGTTCACCCTTCTTCAGTACGGTGGCGTTTACGGTTCTGGAGTGTCAGGTCTACATCTTTCTCAACGTGTTCCTCATCTGCGCCTCTATTCTCACTGTAACAGCCATTAGCGTGGAGCGCTACTATTACATTGTCCACCCCATGCGCTACGAGGTGAAGATGACTATCCACCTGGCTGTTGGGGTCATGGTGTTCATTTGGGTGAAATCCATCCTTTTAGCTCTCGTTACCTTGCTTGGTTGGCCAGCATACGGCAACCAAAGCTCCATTGCGGCTGCCCATTGTTCTCTGCACTGGAGCCACAGTCGTCTCAGGAAAGTCTTCGCTGTCCTCTTCAGCGTGGTGTGCTTCCTGCTTCCTGCCATCGTGATTTTCTCTGTCTACTGTAACGTCTACAAAGTGGCACGGACGGCTGCCCTTCAGCACGTTCCCGTACCCACCTGGGCTGCTAATCAAGCCAAGTGTCGCTCGGACTCCATCAACAGCCAGACCACCATCATCACCACCACCCGCAGCCTGCCTCAGAGGCTGTCCCCAGAGAGAGTGTTTGGGGGTGGCAAAGCTGCCCTGACGCTCGTGGTCATCGTAGGCCAGTTCCTGCTGTGCTGGCTGCCGTACTTCAGCTTCCACCTCCACATGTCCATCACAGCTCCTGTCCAAAGTCCAGGAGACATCGAGGAGGCCGTAACCTGGCTGGCATACTCCTCCTTCGCAGTCAACCCGTTCTTCTATGGCCTGCTCAACAGGCAGATCCGAGAGGAGCTCATAAAGCTGAGGAGGTGCTGTGCTCCCAGCAGGCCCGTGGAACTCGGAGTCTCCAGCCATGAAGGGTCCATCCAGGAGAACTTCTTGCAGTTCCTGCAGAGGACCAACAGCACGGCTGAGACCACAAGGTCCAGTTGTGTCAACTCCAGTCCTAGGAACACTCTTGACCATGGGGTCCGGATACCTGGACAGATACCTGAGGAGTAATAAATTGTAGATTTTTTTATTGTTGGATCAAAAACTGGGACTTTGTTGGATGTTGTTTTGTGTTTCATTCCGAAATGTATAAAATGTGAACTGTAGGGTGAATGTACATTCAAAAGCTAAGCCATATTAATACTGATGGACTTACCAATCTATCAAAATATGATGTACCATGGACGACTGATAACAGTTACGCACAATAAGAGAGAATAAGGATGTCTTTTTTCATTTTTAATATAATATCTAATGACAAAAATAGAATGTGATCTGAAAAAAATGTGTTGATACTGTAACCATCACTATTACTACAATAATTAAACCTTCAGTATTCAGTGTAACTGGTTCTTACATGATATTTGACAACAATATCAAATGAAAGTTTTCAAAAACAAATGAACAATACAACTTTAAAACAGAAATGTTGCTGTTCTCGTCATTTTTAATCCCACACAGCTGTACGTGTGACGTTGACTGAGCTAATTCCAAGTGGACAGGCAGCAGCCTTCCTCATGAAGCTGGCGGAGCTCTGATGTAGCTAGCTAATTCCATCTGCCTGTCGCCATGGAAATGCTGTGAGTCTAGGCCTTACATAGCAACAGGGCTCTTTTGAGCTTGGTCCTTAGGTTTGCTTGTGAAGGGGATAAATTATAGGGAACTGCATCAGCTTTTCTTCCAAACTCAGCTGCTATGTTACTGTACCTATAGCTGGGCATTAATCTGTGTGTCACTTCACTGCGTCTGGATATTTTTCTGTGTTTCTCTGCATTTATTACACAGTGACACAGAAACATGCTGGTCAGGAGGAATGAAAATCATTACCGTGCAATGAAAGTGCTCAGGCTGAGATAACACAGTCTGTTTTTATGGGCTTTTCACTATTTATGTTGGACCATTACAAATAGAGATCACAGATCAGGTGCAGGGTAGTTTGTCCACAGCAAACAGTGACCATGGCCATTTTACAGGTTTGTGTCATGTTATAGCTCTTCTGTTTACTGTTATTATGTAACTAAGGCTGTGCACTCTATATTGAAGACCCAGTTCACAGTGTGGTCAGTGTGTTTGCAAGAGAGCTTAAACGACAATTCAGTAAAGACACTGAAAGCATGCAAATATATACACACACGTGCAAATATATACACACACACACGCACACTCACAAATATAGAGGTTAATGACTCATCTGCAGATTTTCTGTCCAAAGGCATGAAGTGAGACAAAACCTCTGTGTGTTCCTGGATATTATATTTTACTCTCTCTCTTCTTTCTCTATCTCTCTGTTTCCATCACTTTTTCTTCATCGCTTTCTTTCTCTTATTTCTCTCTTGCTTTTCTATTTTGCTTTCTTTTTGTTTCTCTCACTTTTTCTTTCTATCTCTCCCTCCACTCTGTCTCATTCCCTCTCTTTGTCCCTTCTCTTTTTCCTTCTCCTAATCTATCTCTCTCTGTCCTTCTCTTTCTTTCTGCCGCCCTGTCTCACTCTCTTCCTTTCTCTCTATCTATAGCTCTCTCTCTCCCTCACTCTCTAGCTCTCCTACTCTCCCTTTTTCTATTTCTTGTCTTTCTCTCTCATTTATTCCTCTTTCTCTCTTTCATATCTGTTTCTTTTCTTTCACATTTTCTTTTTTCTTTCTTTCCCTTTCTTTTCTCTTTTTATGTATCTTTTGCTTTCTTTTTTCTTTCTTTCTCTTCTCTCTTCTACTTATTTCTCCCTCTTTTATTTCTTGATTTTTCTTGCTTTCTCTCTTTTATCTCTCTCTCCCCCTTTCCCTCTCTCTCCCTTTCTCTCTTTGCCTTTCTGTACTTTTCTCTCACTTTATTCCTCTCTTTCATCTTTTTTCTCTTCTCTTTTTACATATCTTACATATGCCTTTTTCTTCTTTTCTCTTATCTCTCTTCTTGTTTCTCTCTTTTATTTCTCTATCTTTTTGTTTTTCTACCTTTCTATCTTTGTATTTCTCTCTTTTTTACTCTCTTGGAACCTCAAAAAAATATGTAGGCACTAAATGCTGAGTGGAGACACTAATACAGAGCGGGGCAGGTTAGACTGTGATTTGTAGGTCAGAAGCTTTAGAGACGTTATGGTGACATCTTAAAAAAAAACCCAGACTACATGATAACACGCTTCCTCATCAGTGACTCAATACACAGTGACCTGGTCTGCCTCCTCAAACAATAAGCCAACCGTGAGGGCTGTTGGAGAGAGAGAGAGAAGGAGAGAGAGGAGGAAAAGAGAGGGCGAGAGAGCAAGTGAGCAAGAGACAGACATACATGTGGCATGATTAGAGATTCATAAACTTGAGTGTCCCTGTCATGATCAAAACAAGGCCAGACCAAAATAGAACCTGAAAGGATTTAGAGATGTTGAGGTGAAGATTAAAGGAAAATGATTAAAGAGAGGGGTAGGGGTGGGGGTGGTGCTGTGTCCAGCATCCATTTGTCTCTGTTTGAATAATGGTGGTGGTGGGATAGATGCAAGAAAACACTTGGTTTAGCCTGTGTTAGAATGCGCCATATACCTCACAGGTCACTGCACATTGTTTAGAAACTGACTATACAACACCAACATATTAATAATTTGTTATTTGTTTCAGTAATAATTTATAGCATGTAAGTTTTAATGATATAAACCAGATGTTGGAAAGCTATTTTGGATGTTTCACTCAATATGTTAAGTATTTAGGGAACAATAAGAAGTTAAATGATGTACAATCCGTAAAAGAGAATAAGATGTTAGAATATAACAGTATAAGATATTTTATTCTAGCCATTTTTGTTTCATCTACAGCTCTGTTCATCATTCTGGACGCGTCTAAAATACCTTACTTTTTCTTCACATTTCCACAATTGTCTAAAACCTCAGAAAGAATCATTTTAGAATAATTTTACATACATAGAGAATTATTGTATCTCCAAACAAGCAACTTTTCAGGAAAAGGAAACAACATAAACTACACAAACATAACTACAATGTATGTGAATATTACAATATTTTAGTTCAAGTAATTGTGGACCATTTTACTGCTCTGTTGCTCATGAAGTGTTCACACATTAAAGGGCAGCTGATGTAATTGGTTTTAAATAAATAGATAAATGAGTTATGAAGTTTTGATTTTTACGGCAACTAAGTGTCTTCAACAAACCTGGTTTTATATCATTGAAAACATTCATTTCAGACTTTAGAGTGTCAGTGTGTGTCTACTAGCTGAAAATAATCCAGCTATTAACTACATAAATTACTTTAAAGCACAACATCAGTACAAAAAGTCCTTCATTAACACTGAATTAAACACACATCAGGATTATTTTGTTTTCAGAAATTTGTGACAGCAGTTTGACTGTAAGCTTTGACAGGTTTGATTGACTGTGGCAGCAAATGGTAGTTCAGTCAGTCAGTGACGCTGGGGGCAAATCCAGCCATCTGATGGGACAGCTCGCCGTCTGTCTGACAAAATTCCGTAATTATAGCAACAGCTGGAGGGGCAGGTGCGAGTGTCGGAACACGGTGCTCCGAATCCAAGCACTCAAACGAATTTAAGCTTCTGAGACGGACCTTCATTACATCAATGTGAGGTTGAGAGAGGTTTCGTTTTACTGATCATCAGATGACTGTCTTTTTGTTCAGAGTATTGCTGAAATGCATTATTTTATAAACCTTTGCTTTGTTCCGTTTATTTGACTGTAGTAGCCTACAGTGTGCGCAGTATATTAGACCACACAGGTAGATAGTTACCTTTTTTGATAACATGCAGTACAGATGTATAGTCACAATTTCATTAGTCTATATTTTAGTAGAAACTTTTATTTTGAGTTGTAATTTAGCAGCAACAATTCGGTATTTAGATGGTAATGCACTTTTTGTGTAAAATAGCTATCAGTAGTGAGATTTTGATGAAGTATAAAACTAAACACCACCACATGGTGCATGACTCATGACCCTTAAAAGGCACACATTGGCTTTTCTTCTTATTCTTCTTCTCTTCTTTTCTTCCATTCTTATTTTATTTTTGTATTTTGTTGTCCATGAGGTCACTTATGACATTTGTGTGGTCATAATTCATTGTTACATGACCATCTTTTTATCTCTTAACATTCAACAGGCTGTTTTTGTTATTGTGCCTTTAAGATGGATATATGCAAATGATAGGCTGTTCTGTAATGCAGTTCATTTAAAAAGCACTCCAGGCTGAATCACTCCATATAACTTCAGTTTGAATGGACGAGGTTAAACTTCTATAGGCTGAATAGTGGATATACGTAAATGTGTTGGTTTTGTGACATCACAGATTCAAAACGGACTGTTTTTGCAACTTAATTTCTACTATGTGAAAGAAGTGATTTGGACCCTATTAAAGGTTCCTAGGAGCCACATGTTTCCGGGGGAAGCAGTTGGCTGCAGTTACACAACCGTGTAGAGCCTATTGTAGGTGATTAGCAGAATGAGGAGGTGAAGGATTCAGATCCCTGCCTGACAACAGCTCTGAACATAGGGGGAGGGAAGCAGGTCAGGAAGGGGGTTCAGTGGAGTGTGGAGGAGGGCAGATGAGTGTGGAGGGCTGGAGAAAAGAATGAATCGTGTCTGCTTCACCTGCTCAGTGCAATCAGGGGGATGTAATGAAGGACCTGGCTCACATAGGGAAGTGTGTGACCTCATCAAGGAAAGCTGGTGTGTGATACTTTACTTGAGAGCAGGCCATGATGCAAAGCTGTCAAAAGCAAAAAAAATAAATAAATAAATATGTAAAGATATGTAAAGTGCTGGACTGGAGATGAATGACAGCAGGGGCTACACAGTGCTAGGACACTAATGAGCTGCACTTCTGATGGGTTTCCTGGAAGTGGGGTTAGTAGCAAGAAACATAGGTGGTCTTTACTGCCGGCACAGAATGTTTCCTCTTTTTTTACTGTTTAGCTGTAACTATGTTGGTTGTTCCGAGGGCTCATCTGAAACTTAAAGGTGACCATACATTTGCAGTTTATGCTCTGAGACTGTGGAACCGTCTTCCACTTGCTCTTTGCCAAACCCCTTTTCGGTTTTTAAATCAGGGCTAAAACATACCTGTACAAACCTGCATTTGTCATTTGTGCTGGTTCTACATACAGCACTTTGGTCAACATAAGTTGTTTTAAAAGTGCTTTATAAATAAATTTGACTTATTTACTTACTTACTATAAAACCATACAGGACCTACAGACGATAAAGAATGCATGTGAACAGGTACACTTTCTATATATAGTACTGTGCAAAAGTCAAATACGAGGGCGTCACTAGATATTTATGGATAGGGGAGCTAAGCCTTTAGTAAGGGGGTCTGGGGGCATGCTCCCCCAGGAGGAAG